ACGGGGTGGGCAAGATCTTGGGAGGGGACACAGCCAGGACAGCTGACCCAAACCGACCAAAGGGATATTCCATACCATATGACGTTTGCTCAGTATAAAGCTGGGAGAAAGGAGGAAGGGGGTGGGGTCACCCTTGGTCCTCCGAAGCAACCACTACGTGTATTGGAGCCCTGCTTCCTGAGAAGGCCCGACATCGCCTGTCCATGGGAAGTAGAGACTAAATCTGTTTGCTTTTGCTTCCGCGCGCGGACTTTTGCTTTGCCTTGCTTATATTAAAACTGCTTTTGTTTCACCCACAAGGGTTAGTTTATCTTCTTTCCCCTCTTTACCCTATTGAGAAAACAAGGGGAAAAAGGGGGGCGAAGTGATAGAGCGACTTGGTGGATACCTGGCATTTAGCCAGTCAAACCATCACAGTAGTCCAGAGACTTGCTGTCCCTACTTCCCTGGCTGCTGTGGAAGGAGGCAGCTCCAGACAGTTGAGGCACTGCAGAGGGGACCAGGTCCACCAAGGAGCTCAGCTGATGACAGTGACGTTGTCCCATTGCTTCCATGGGGAGAGGCTGCTTTACACTGGCTGAAGATGTAGCTTGCTGCCACATCAGGGATTTTCTCTCTTACTAATGACTTCATCCTCCCATGGGTGCCAAACCCATTTATTCATAGTGCACATTTTTTTCTCCCACCTACCTTTGTGGCTTACTTACCTCTACTACAGAGTTAAGGAAAAGGCAGGACAAAAGAATCTTTTTCCTCAAGTAAATCTCTCACTGACCTAAATGAAAATGTCTTTAAACAATTTCTGAGAGCTTTGATCCTGTGTAAGTAAAAGTGGAAAGGGGATGGGAGCAGACTCTGCTGCTATCGAAGGGATCACTACTGCTGCCTAACAACTAGGCAATGAAGCAAAAGCCATGGTCGTTTAAAGAGGAAGTTCACAGGAGCACAGAATCATCTAGGTTGGAAAAGACCTTGAAGATCACTCAGTCCAACCATTAAACTAATACTGACCGTTCTCGACTCCATCATATCCCCAAGCGCTATGTCAACCCGACTCTTAAATACCTCCACTGCCCCAGGCAGCCCATTCCAACACCTTACAATCCATTCTGTAAAGAAATACTTCCTAATATCCAGTCTAAACCTTCCCTGGCACAATTTGAGGCCATTCCCTCTTGTCTTATCGCTTGCTACTTGGTTAAAGAGGCTCATCCCCAGCTCCCTGCACCCTCCTTTCAGGTAGCTGCAGAGGGTGATGAGGTCTCCCCTCAGCCTGCTCCAGACTAAACCCCCCCAGTTCCCTCAGCTGCTCATCAGACCTGTGCTCCAGACCCTGCACCAGCTCCGTTGCCCTTCTCTGGACACGCTCGAGTCATTCAATGTCCTTTTTGTAGTAAGGGGCCCAGAACTGAATGCACAATTGAGGTGCGGCCTCACTAGTGCCGAGTGCCGGGGTAAGATCCCTTCCCTGTCCCTGCTGGCCACGCTATTGCTGATATACGCCACGATTCTATTGGCCTTCTTGGCCACCTTGGCCTTCTTGAAACTCCTCCAGTTGGCCTCAGCCCATGGCTCCAGCCTGTCCAGGTCTCTCTGCAGAGCCTCCCTACCCTCGAGTAGATCAACACTCCCACCCAACTGGGTGTTATCTGCAAACTTGCTGGGGGTGCACTCGATCCCTTCGTCTAGATCATCCATAAAGATGTTAAACAGGAGTGGCCCCAAAACCGAGACCTGGGGGACACCACTCGTGACCGGCCACCAACCGGATTTAGCTCTGTTCACCACAACTCTTTGGGCCCGGCCATCCAGCCAGTCTTTACCCAGCAAAGCGTGTGCCCCTCCAAGCCACGAGCAGCCAGTTTCACCAGGAGAATGCTGTGGGAAACAGTGTCAAAGGCCTTAGTAATGCCAAGGTAAACAACGTCCACAGCCTTTCCCTCATCCAGTCAGCAGGTCACCCTGTCGTAGAAGGAGATCAGGTTTGTCAAGCAGGACCTGCCTTCCATAAACCCATGCTGACTGGGCCTGAGCATCTGGCCGTCCCACATGTGTTGTATGATGGTACTCAGGATGAGCTGCTCCATCAGCTTCCCGGGCACCAAAGTCAAGCTGACAGGCCTGTGTTGGAGAATGGCTTGCAGAGAGCAAGGCCATGGGTCTCTGCAGGAGCTGATTGCAGGCATCTGAGGTAAAGAAAGGAAAAATCCCAGGGTACAGTTATGCTAACAAAGGACTGTTAACAAAGAGAGAAACTGAGGTACACAATGGCCTTGAGTATGATGGTAAACAACCTGGGGAAAAAAGGCAGGCCAGAAGAGGGAAGATGTTGTGACATGCCTGAAATGCCACAAGGGACTGGGATATTATAATGTAGCCTTTTACATGTATCCAATAGATTTGTGAGTAGTATGCATGATTACTGTAGAGTGCTTATATAAGGTGTGATTTCTTTCAATAAAGATGAAGCTTACTCTTATCATTCACATTGAATCGACTGCTTGCTTCCTCCATCCTCTGCAGGCCTGTAATTTCCCGGATCATCCTTCTGACCCTCCTCATATATGGGCATCACATGGGCTGATTTCCAATCCTAATGGGAGTCGGGACCTCCCCGGTCAGCCAGGACTGCTGGTAAACGATGGAAAGCGGCTTGGCGAGCACCCCCAGCCAGCTCCTTCAGCACCCTCGGGTGTATCCCGTCCGGTCCCATAGACTTGTGTGCGTCTCCGTGAGGCAGCAGGACACTGACTGTCTCCTCCTGGATCGCAGCGGGGTTGTTCTCCCAGTCTCTGTCTTCTGGCTGAGGAGGCTGGGTTCCCTCAGTACAACTAGACCTGTTGCAAAGACTGAGGCGAAGAAGGCATTAAGCACCTCAGCCTTTTCCTCAATGCTCGTTACCATGATTCCTCCTGTGTCTAGCAGGGAATAGAGGCTCTCCCTGGTCTTTCTTTTGCTGTTGATGTACATACAGAAACACTTCTTGTTATCCTTGACTGCTGAAGCCAGATTAATTTCTAGCTGGGCTTTAGACCTCCTGATTTCCACCCTGCATAGCCTCACAGCATCTCTGTAATCATTGTGAGGTGTTAGGCCCTTCTTCCAAAGGCTGGAAACTCTCCTTTTCTCCCTGGGTTGCAGCCAAAACTCCCTCTTTAGCCAGGGTGGTCTCCTCTGGCACCAGCTTCTCTCACAGGAGCTGGGGACCGCCAGCTCCTGTGCCACAAAGATTTTCTTCTTAAAGTGTCCAGCCTTCCTGGACCCCTGGACCCTTCAGGACCCTCTCCAAGGGATTCTGCCAAGCAGGTCAAGACTAAAAGGTCAGCCAAAGGTCACCTGGCTGTCCTAGGTGCTTGTTATCAGAGCCTTGAAAAGAGGCAGGAAGGTGACAAGAGCTGATTATAGCAACAACTGGAGAAGGCTGACAGGGCTGGGAGAGCCCGGCACCCCTCCTCAGCACTCCACGTGCAGGGCTGCTTTGCTGTTGTAAAACAAACGGTCAGCAGAGCCCGTGTCCTGTGGTGGAGCCGGTGTGAGCACCTCCTTCTCCGCCCCAGCAGTGGGTCCCTGCACAGCCCAAAGATCTGGGCAGCTCCTGGGGCACTTGTCATCCAGCTCCTCACCAAGGCACAGTGCAGCTGGGGCTCTCATTTTGTCTCCC